AATGGTGACCATGCATAAGACATCCATCAAAGGAGGCTATCAACTTGGCCCTCATAAAAAGACCAGGCATTTTATGTGACTAGTGCAGTACAACGACACTATGGAGTCTAAATAAATAGAGAGCTGAATTCTGAACTCTCTCCAGTATTCTAAAGTTAATGGTGTGTGAGAGAATACTGAATCAGGGATTAAGAACTCTAGGTTCTGCTTCAGGCTCCTGCACTATTAAAACACCATATTTAGTTTTCTGTATCACATTGTACCTCAAATTTATAGAATAGTTGTTGGCTTGCATTGAAATTATTTTCATATTTTTACTCTACTTTGTATTATTTCCTGCAAAATATCTGTGATAAAAGGAAGTGTGGGGAGGCTACATGAGATCTCTATAAGATCTCATCTCGATAATTCTAAAATTATAAAATATTTTTTCAAATTCTCACAAATGAAAGCTTTATTCTTTGGCTTGATATTTTTAAATTATTTTTGTTCCTAATTAGAGTGATAGATCAATGCAACAATATCATGACCGTTAGGTAAATGATGCCTACCTAGTGTTAATATTACTTAGATAATTTATATTTATAGTGGATTTTGCTTATTCAAATTGCTCTGAAGAGTTAGAAATTTCATAAAAAGATTTCATGATTTACTAAATTCATGCTAGAAGAGTTTCTATCTCAACACAGTTCTTGCTATTAGCTAATCTGATATCACTTTCTATAACTGTCTTTTAGTGATTTAAAAGGACAAGCATTCATACGACTAATTTATAGAGCTCTTGAGAAAGATGCAGACAGAGTTCAAACAGCAACCTGGTGTCAGCCACATCCAGGTAGATAGTGGGTCCATGCAGATCACTATAAGGCATGGATGAAGCAGAACAGAGATTTAAAATTAGTGGACACCGCACATAACAAGCTATGCAAAAGGGGCTATAACTAGTCTACTAAAATATATGAATATACAGTTGTTATTTGTTATGGAAAAATAGTATGTTTTAGGGCAGCTTTCTTATTTTTGAGAAGTATCAAATAATACAGTCTATCTGTATGCATTAAGATTACGGTTAGGTTCAATAAGACAGAAAAATAACAGTGGCTCAGATAAGATATAGATGTATTTTTCTCATATGTAGAATAATTCTGGAGACAGGTAATTCTAGGACTGGCAGGATAGCGCTACAAAACTTTGAGCAATCCAGGCTCCTTCCTGCCTACTTTTATACCATCACTAATAAGTTGTCCTTATCTTCATAGTCCAGATTAGCCGCCTGAGCTCCAGGTATCAATCAACACACCAGGCAGTACGATGGAGGAAAAGACTAAGATGAGCATGAGCCATCCCTTAAAGAGATTTCTCAGCAACGTCATGTTTATCTGCCTACATTTCATTGCCAAGAACTTAGTTACAGAGCTATACCTAGCTAAGAGGAAAGCTGACAGTGTAGACTTTATATGGGGTGCGTTATGTGTTGATCAATATCAGGGTTCTGGTATTATGAAAGAAGGAGATCATAGAAATTAGAACCCATACTAGCAGCTTGTCCACTCTAATATTCCCAGGATACATATGTTCTTCAGTGCCATTGTCAGATGAAATGGACCTTGATTTGATCTAGAATGGAAATTCTTACTGTTCTTGTGCATCTACCACAATACATATTACAGTAGTAGTTACAAGAAGAATATATCTGTCTCAGAAGAGCACCACAAAGTTTTTAAAAAAAGCAAGATTTATTTTATCAGGTCCTCATTCTTTGCCAGTGTCAACTTTTTATAATAATATTTTTCCATTTGTCAAGGCTTAATTTCATTCTTTTTTGGTTTCAGTATATAAGAAGAGTCTTGGAGATGACATTAGTTCTGAAACATCTGGTGACTTCCGGAAAGCTCTGTTGACTTTGGCAGATGTAAGGCTTTATGTTTTACTTTTTAACTCCTCAATAAGCTGCATGACCAATAATAATTATTAGAGATTTTAAAAATAAGCAAACTGAGACCATGAGCTTGTAATTTTTCTTGTGAAATGATTTGCTCATTTTACATTTTCATTTGCATCAAGCAGTGTAATTAATCACCATCATAAAGTGTAACATAATGATGGAACAAAAAATTCTTTTTTTGGTTAATACATGGGTTAAAAGTGTTTTGCTTGGGTTTCTCAATACATTAGAAATGTTCTGATAATTCACCTGACATAAAACAACTTTTCATTTCCATTATAAGTGTCTCCATTTTTAAGAACATATTTATTTTTTTCTGGACCCGAAAGAATATATTTCTTTTGTTAGCATTTAAATTAAGTAGGAAGCATGATACAGAAGAATTATCTTCAGAGATGGGTATATCAGTCTTGGGATTTAAAAAAAAAAATTGGCTTGCTGCAACTTCATTCTTGAACCTTTTGAAGAGTTGCTAAACCATTTATGTGACCAAATGAGGCCACACCTTGCTGTCACTTTATAGGAAGCTCATGACTTTATAGTAAAGGTGGCAAGGTCAAGGATAAGATATAATTTAAGTCCCCTTTCACTGGCCTCTTTCAGCTGATTTATACAGCCCTTAATGTGTGGGAAAATCCCAACACGGTCTCAGCCTGAGGGCTAAAACAGCGCTTGTCAAAGTGAGACATTATGCCACTAGAAAATAATTTATCTTAACTTTGGCTTCAGTTGTTTTAAAATAGTGAAAACCTTTTAAAGATTGAACCTACAAACCCAATTTATGAGGCATTGCTGGAAGCATATTTTCTCAGAGGTTCATATTCAAAAGTGCACATCCATTTGTGTGTGCACATACCCACACACACCCACAGGAGGCAGTGGAGAGTAGGGCTTCAGGGCAGGGTTTTAAAATCAAACAGACCTGGAATCTTATGCTCTTCTGTTGCCTACTAGATTTATATGTCTGGACAAATTACTTTAACATTTAAAGCCTTTGTTTTTACATTTGTAAAATTAAAGTAATAATAGCACTAACCTCATAGGGTGCTTCAAAGATTAGATAGATGATAGATAGACAGACAGACAGACAGACGGACAATAGAGAGAAGATATGAAGTACTTAGCACATAGAAAGCGATCAATACATGGTGGTAGCAGATTATTATTATTAATACCAATGATAATCAGCATTTATATCATTGGAAAAGAGTGCATGATAAGAGAACAAGAAGGCAAACTAACAGTAGAGAATCAGCAGCACTTAAAAGAAGCAAATAAAGGAAATCATGCAAAAATCAGACTGGCATACAAGAGTCTAGTGTCTGAAAATAGGAACATGCATTTTAAAAATATTATATACAAATGTTTCATTCTTATAATTTTCAAAATAATTCAGGCAATCCTCTTTTCCCTCTCTTTCTCCCATCTTTCTATAATGTGCTCAAGTGTTTGTGCGTGAGCACACACTCACATGTAGCCACAAAGCCTTCAACAGTAGAGTTGGTAGGGAACTTGAGGGTTTTTTTTACTAGACTTTTTAGAGCAGTTTTAGAGTAGATTTACAGAAAAATTGAGTAGAAAGTACAGAGATCTCCCTTATGCCTTTCCTCCTATGCCCTCACTGTTTCTCCTATTATTAACATCTTGCATTAAGTGGTAAATTTGTTACAGTTGATGAATGAATACTGATACATTATTATTAACTAAAGCCCGTGGCTGTACATTGGGGTTCTGTGTTCTACATTAGCATCATACATTCTATGGGTTTTGACAAATGTCTGTTGTCATGTGACAACCATTACAGTATCATACAGAATGGTTTTACTGCCCTAAAAATCCTCTGTGCTCCAATTAATCATTCCTTTTCTTCCTACTGCTGAACTCCTGGCAACCATTGATCTTTTTACAGTCTCTATAGTTGCTTTTTCTAGACTGTCATATAATTGGAATTATATAGTGTGTAGCCTTTTTAGACTGTCTTCTTTACTTAGCAGCATGCTAAGTGTCTTTTCATGGCTTGACCGCTCATTTCCTTTTTATTGCCGAATACTATTCCATTATCTGGGTATTCTAATGTATATGCTTCACCTGTTGAAGAGCATCTTAGTTGCTTCCAAGTTTTGGCAATTATGAATAAAAACTTCTATAAACATTCATATGAAAATTTTTGTGTAAAAATAAGTTTTCAGTTCCTTGGGATAAGTACCAAGGAGCGTAATTACATAGTTAGAGTATGTGTAGTTTTGTTAAGAAACTGCCAGACTGTCTTCCAAAGTGGCTGTACCATTTCGCATTCCCACTAGCAAGGAATGAGAGTTCCAGTTGCTCCAAATCCTTGCCAGCAATATGGTGTTGTCAGTGTTTTGGATCTTACCTATTCTAATAAGTGTGTAGTGCTATCTTATTGTTTTAAGTTTCAGTTCCTTAATGACATATCATGTTGAGAACATTTTCATGTGCTTGCTTGCCATCTGTATATGTGATATCTTTTCAGAGCTTTTGCCCATTTTTCAATTGGATCGTTTGCTATCTCATTGCAGAATGTTGAGTTCTTTATGTATTTCGGATACAAGTCCTTTATCAGATATGTGCTTGTCAATATTTTCTCCCAGTCTTTGACTTGTGTTTTCATGCCTTTAAAATCTTTGAGTTTTCAGAGGAGGAAACTGAGGTTCAGAAAGTTATGTGATTTGCTACAAATTTCATGGCTTGTTAGTGGCAGAGCCAGAGCCCCGGATGCCTGATTCCTCTGTGCTACATGACCTCCACTAGAGAAGAATCTCTAAGATGCCCTGATGGTTGGAATACCATGTGTTAGAATTTTCTGTCTTTAAAAGGGTTGTACATGTTTTCATCTTCCCTGTTTAGGGCAGAAGAGATGAAAGTCTGAAAGTAGATGAGCATTTGGCCAAAAAAGATGCCCAGGTCAGTAACAGCGCAAAGAAAACATCTCCTTCAACTATTCCCCACCGCTGACTGCTTTCTCATTTCTGTGGCACCAGCTGGGGCTGTTTGTTGTTCTCCTGTCCTGTCTGAAGGAGAAGCCTGAAGGTTGGGGATCACCCACTCAGCTCTCCGCCTTCCCTGGTTATTTTCCCCCTATTTCCTGTCGCCCCAGCCATCAGATTTCTAGTCTACTAATGCTAAAGACAAGAAACTCGAATAATTCTCTCTCTTACATTTAAAATGAAGTAAACCTCCCACTCTTCTCATTCCACCTCCTCAAAAAGAAAGAGAATTGTGTTCGTACTAACATTTAAGTCTTCCTCCCTTGTCCCATAGATTCTCTATAATGCTGGTGAGAACAGATGGGGCACGGACGAAGATAAATTCACTGAGATCCTATGTTTAAGGAGCTTTCCTCAACTAAAACTAAGTAAGAACTCACGATTCGTTTGGCTTTGTGTTGTTTTGCAAATGCCTTTTGGGTTTAATATACAAAGTTCTAGAAAATGAAGTTAAAAATTGCAAAGGTTCCATTTTTATGTATCGACAGTTTAGGAAACAGTATAGGGAAGCTTTGTTCCACGTCAAGGCAGAACTGACACCGCTCTTGTTTCCCCTGGAGGCTGAGTCGATTACCTAGTGAGCGGCAGGTAATAGATGGGAAAGGGACAGCAGGAAGAAGAATAGGAGCAGACCTCTGAGGTGAGAGCAGAGAGGAGTGTTCCTATGGGATGGAGGAGCCTGACTGCATTGCTTCCACCCCAACTCCTCCCTATTTAGCCACTATCTAGAAAAACTGTGCATCTCTGTTAATGCTTTAATATGAATTAACATTCAACTCTTTCTGATATGAAGGTAAATGGGGGAAGGGGAACAGCTCTCTCTGTCAGACCAACTATTATGTGGATCGACTAAGCACCCACTCGCTCACTCTGCATCTCCCTGAACCATTCTGGAAACAAAAGCACCCAGAAGCCTAGAACACCATTTACTGTGAACATGTGACTGTGGCTTCCAGGTGGAGGTCAAGAGAACAACCACAGTGCACAACTCAGCTTCTTCTGAGTTCATGGAAAAATGAGGAAAAAAAGATATTACCATGACTTTTTAATTCTGTGATTGCCCTCCCTTAATTTGGGCATTAAAATTTCATTTATAAAATAATGGTAATAGTTTATCATAGTTACTTTAGTAATATCTTTATTTGAAAAATAAAAACCAAACAATCCTAGATCTCTTTCTCCAAAATTTTTTTTCTCAAAATGTACTTGGAAGAGATTTACCCGGCTTGCAAAATACGCCTGTATACTTGGTGAGGTACATACAGGTTTTGCTTTGGGGTCAAAACTGATCAAGAATTTCGCATGCCTTCTGGTCAGTGTGAAGTAGGCCACACTCCCTTAGGAATGTACTTGGCACAAAGGCGTCTTCACACTTAAGATTTCTCTAGCAGATAAAACACATTTGATTAATGGCCACACTTTTGTTTCCCAGGTGCTGCAATAATTTTAAAATAGCCGACCTTACTAGATAAATTATTTATTATTTAACTTTTCAGGCTATTTTAAATGCTAACAGCCTGGGAAGAGGGAAGGGAGAGGAGAGAGAGAAGATCATTGAAGAAAATAGCCTATGAAGTTCAAGTTTTATTGTAGATGATTTTTTTAAAGAAATGAAAAAAAACTTCCACGTTCAATCAAATTTTGATGACTTAAGGGAGTTTTTGAGCTTGCTACTTAACAACTTGATTTTGCTGCATGTCAAATCAAGAACTGGAATATTTTCACGTGTGGTCAGCTGGGATGTTTTAAATGTTTTTGTGATGCTGCTTTTTAGCATTTGATGAATACAGAAATATTAGCCAGAAGGACATTGAGGACAGCATAAAAGGAGAATTATCTGGGCATTTTGAAGATTTGCTGCTGGCCATAGGTAAGCCCTTGAGTGCTTATAAACCGAATTGCTTTGCACTTGTTTTTTATGCTCCCACAGCCCCCAGCATAGTCCGCAGTACACACGATATACTCAACAAATATTGTTAAATGGATGCATGAAAAGTTATCGTTTTATGTCTTACTGTGCTTTTAACTATGTATTTGACTTGTCACCATGTTTGGATTGTAAACTCCTTGAGAGGTAAAAATATTACATTTCTGAGCTTTGTTGAAAGCTGAGACCTAAGCCAATCTGGTACTTCACCATTTTGGGTTATTTTGGAAGATGTCAGTGGCCTACAAAAGTTGAGCTCAGGTCAGAACTATAGGTCTCCTCCGCCTTGGCTGTGCTACCAGGCGAGTGTATCGAAAAGTAAGTCACTGACCGAATCTGTTCCTAGAGAGACACGTGGTTTAACAGGCAGACAAAAACACCGTTATATAAGCTGAACTGCCTTCTCAATGAGGTCTCAGCAGCCTGTTCCTTTAGGCACCCGAAGAACATTTTGCAATAAAGGTTTGTTCAGAGGAATGTGACATTCTTCAAAGACAGGATTCAGTCAGAGTCAGGCAAAAAAGAACCTGTTATCTGTTAAGCGCTTGTACACACACAAGATTGTTAGGAATCTTAAGCCACTTTAATTTATGGTGGCTACTGGGCTTGCTACAGGCTTCCTCCCTACTAAATCCAAGATTGGAGTACCTGTACTCCACATGTCTTGTCATTTCATCAATGAAAAATCTTTTCTAACACCCATCATGATAATTAATAGCTCCTCTAGTGAGGTAAAGCTAGTTGATGTCTAAGAGTGACTTTTTCTGGAGCGAGCCTCTGATTCATCCTAAAACGTTAATCACTACCTCTGGAGGTAAACTCCCAACCATGGTTCCTCAAACTGTATTTTTAAATAAATGCTCACCTGGCACTTACCATGTGCTCAGCACTGTGCCAGATTCTTTATGAATATCAATCCATTTAAGCCTCACAACACCCCCATGGATTAGGGACTATTATTATCCTCTTGGTAGAGACAGTAAACCTGAGGCACAAAGAGGTTACCCAGGGAATACCTGGTAGAGCTAAAATTCTAACCCAGGCAATCAGGCTCCATGATCTTTGATGCTAACCAGCCATTTCACGTGCCGCTGTGTAGATATAGACTGAAACACACATATACCACACAGTCCATGTTGAAGTATTTTAAAGTAAATTACAAAAAATACACCAGGAGCAAGCACTCCCTTAGTTCAAAGCCCCATTCTCAGAGCTTCCTTCACATATGTTATATCACTTAACTTCTGATCCTCTCTTCAGTGCCAAGAATAGGCTTTTTTATCCAAGTGCTGCTCAAAAAAAAAAAAAAAAAATACCGTTGACTCTCATTGAATTGCTGAAAGATTGGCCAAGAAAGAAAAAAAGCTTCTTTTTCAATTGAAAAAAAAAAAAAAATGGAATAAAGATCAGTCTCCATAATTAGTTCTGAGAATATTCCAGTGGCAATAATATAGTCGGTTAAATTTTTTCCATTTTGGATTGTTAATCTTTATATCAGTTTTGCCTTTTACCTAGCCTGCTGTAATATTTGAAAAACTTTATTGAGATGTATGAACTCTCACTCGTTGATCTAAGAAGGATTCTTGGAAATATACATTGAATGATGCACTAAATTTGGGCTATAATGTACATTATATCAACTAAAAGACCTTATAATTCAACTAATTTAAAGTTCAAGATATATCCCACTTTCATTTTCTATTTCAATTTACCATTGGAATACATCAAGTTTTTAAAATCTTCACTGAGATATAACTCACATACCATAAAATTCACCCACTCAAAGTGTGCAATTCAGTGTTTTTTAGTGTATTTATAGGATTATACAACCATTACCACAGTCTAAATTTAGGATATTTTTATCAGCCCCAAAAGAAACCCTGTACCCATTGGCAGTCCCCGCCCCCCCTCTGGCCTTGGTAACCACTAATCTACTTTCTGTGTTAATAAATCTATCTGTTCTAAATATGTCATATACAAGGATTCTAATACAGTATATCAACATATAATTTTTTATATGGAAACCCATCTGAGCTGTATCATCTTAGAAATGCATAATAGGAGCATTTCTAGTTGTCAAATCTGGACTTAGATAAGGAGAGGCCATATTCAAAAAGACTATTGCAGTAGGGAGAACACTCATTTCAGCAATGTGCGGGAGTCTCAAAATCAACAGAAAAGGCGTTTCTCTCAAGGGGAAGTTGGATAAGCAAGGGAGCATGAACGCTGGGGTTTGACAGGAAATGTGTCTTGCTCTGTCAACTGATTCTCTTGAGTTTTAGTGCTTGCTCAGTCGAGGGTGGGGAACCAGAGTTCAGGGACATGCCGGGAGGAGACAGGACTGACTAAAGTTTGGTCAAGACAACACAGAGGGTAAGAAATGGGCAACCGTGAACACTTGGTCATCATAATTAATTTCAATGAATTCCCTGAGTTTCAGAGATTTCTGAGTTTCCCTATTTGTGATGTTGGATGCTAAGCAAGCTTCCTTCCACCACATTTACCACCACCTCCCTAAAAGTATAGGCCATGAGAAGCAGGCCTAGTGCTTAAGAACATAAAGCAGAAGACAAGCTCAAGGGTTGTAAAAAGAAAGGGTTCTTTAAGGATTTCGTTTAGAGAGAGGGAGATGATTGAAAAGCTTAATAGGATGAAAGTAAGCATAACAACTTTTGATTAAAGTATTAAGTCTTGCTTAATATGAGTCTGAGAAAAAATAAGTGATACCAATTCTAATGGTTGATTTCTTTTTAAAGTTCATTTCGAACACTTTTCATGTTTGTCCCAGATTCCCTGTGAGTTTCTAATGCACTTCCACTTCTATTTCCCTGAAGTCAGTTACACAAACTAAAGGCCTTTTTCACTTTCTTTAAGAGAAAGTCTGTAAGGCACTATGAGAAAACTACTTATTCTTGTTCTCATCTCCACAACTCATTATAAAATGTATTCACTTTTGGTCAGATTCCTACCTGCAGATTACATGTAAGATTATAAAACTAGTTGTGTTGCAATAAATAGGTTTACTCACTACAAACTTTTCTGTTTGACAATTTTCACTTTATTTCAAGGATAATTAATTTGCTCATGTTTCTACCAGTTTCCTTTTTTGTGTTTTACTTCTGCTTTATTTTATTTTATTTTTTTAAAAAATAAAGAATGGAAAGATTGCAGGGTTTTTTGCTTTTATTGTTATTGTGGCTGAATTTAGATTACAGGTGCTGGTTCTAATATAATTACTCTAACCAACCTATAAATTCTAATCCAGCCGCTTAGTAGAAAATCTATTTGAAAAACGGGTTTTAGATTGAACTCCAGTGCCCCCTTCTTACCTAATGAGTTATTTGGAGCAACATCTCTGCAGTCTTTAGACTCAAGTTATTCATCAGTAGTCAAAGCTGTTAGAAAAGGAGCAACGATACACCCTAGGGAGTTATCAGTGTGAGCGTAGGTGTCCATGTGTGTGGAATCTGGAGATGAGTCAGTTGATGTGGGAGTTTCTTTGGCAGGTAATTTTATTTTCCCAATGGCTAAAGATAATTACTGTGCTAAAGTTCTGTGCAAATATTATATTATCGGGTTTTGAAATTCTGGTTAAGCATTCATTCTTTCATTCCAAATTAAGGCTGCTATTAGGGAGGGTAGAGAATAGTATGGTTACCCAAATAATCCTTTTTAAAAAACACATTACTGTATATTAACTCAAATTCTATTAAATGAAACTGAATATTATTTTACTTTTTATACAGTTCATTGTGCAAGGAATATGCCTGCCTTTTTAGCTGAAAGACTACATCAAGCTTTGAAGGTTGGTCTGGAAATTTCATACACGATCTTAGCTTCCCTCAAGGAGAATGTAAAAATAGTGCTTAATATCAATGGAATTTCATACTTCTTTTCCACTTTGATGAGTTCTCTTTTGTAGCTAATTTGTCTACTAATTTGTCTCAGGGGTTGATAATGAGTATCCTAATCATTATAGAGAGAGGAACAGTGAAGTGCTGACAAAATTATTTCCCCCAGTTCACGTCATGTGTGTGCAGTAGAACTTGTTTTAGAATGCCAACTCTCAAACTTGACCCATTAGGCTTAGTGGCATCTCAGGCCAGGCTGCCTTACTTAAAATAAACCGAGCTGAGTCAGCAGCCTTTCACAATATGGAAACAACCATGTCTTCTTGTCCATTGCTGCTGCTAGATGGTGAACTCCATGAGTACAGGAGTTTTTGTTTCTCTTTTATATCTTTAGACCCTAGCATGTGGCCGGGCACATGGAGCATGCTTGCTTCAGTTTCTTTACTGGACATTTCCTATGGAAGTCCACATGCACCTTCAGAGTTATGTCCAAAGTGAACACATCATTTCCCTTATCTCACCTCCCACCCCAAGTCTGCGCCTGTCGTGTGTTCAGTCATCTCCATGGATAGCCCTGAACGGGACCAAAAGTTTTGCCTCTTGGGATACTGATTTTAACCTGGTTATCAAGAAACAAAAGAAACTTTTTAAGCTGGTTATTAAGAAAGAAACTTTGACCCTCCTACCTGTCCTGCCCAAGAGATTCAGATAGAAAAACCTACTTCAAAAAGGAGAGTTTAGGATGCGGCTATAGCCTAATCTGAATTAAGTATGGGCTTCCGGCAGGGGCCTGTTAGCTCCATACTCTGTGTCCCATTGTGTGAGTTGCCTAGCAAGAATTTGCCTGCCACATGTGTGTGTTCTGTTCTTCTTCAACCACTTGTAAATCACCCATTCTCACTTCTGAAGTCTAATACCCTGCCCCCACCCTTTTCTCCTTTGTCCAAATGTCATATATACCCAATGTTGCCTCACTGTCTTTGGAATTTTCATGCTTATGTGAATTCTCCACACTCATGTATTTAAAATTCCATTTTCTCCTGTTGATCTCTCTCTGTTAATTTGATTATTAGCCCAGCTAGAACTTAGAAAGTGGAGGAAAAGTATTATTATTTTTAACCCCCAGAGCCCTAACAGGGACTGGCCTTGCCCAGCTGTCTGAAGCCGTGCCATTCCTCTCTGTGCCTCAGCCACCTTGGCCGTTCTGTTCCTCAGCTATGCCAAGTCTCTTCCCATGTCTGAGTCTTTGCATTTGTTGTCCTCTCTGCCTGGAATGTACCTTTTCCAGACCTATCTATGGCGGGCTCCTTCTCATCTGTCAGGTCTCTGTTCAAATGTCACCTCCTAAGAGAGGTCTTCTCTGACTACACAGGTCAGTAGGCTCCCTTTCAGTTACACTCAATTCCATAGTTCTTACTATTAAACAATTTGTTAATTTTCTTTACTGACCATTTCCATCCATTTGAACATAAACTCCATGAGAATAGAGGTATTTTCTGTATTTTTCACTACCATGTACACAGTATATGGAACGATGCCTGGCATATAGTAGATACTCAATAAGCATTTGTTACGTGAATGGTGTCAACATCCACCTAACTGCTGAGAAATTTTGCATTCTTCCTCTCCTCATTCTCCTCGTAGATACATCAAGTTTTGTCATTTACTTTTATAAGCATTTCTTAAATCTACCCATTGTTCTCCATCTATACTGACAATTTTCTATGTCAGGCCATCATCATCTCTTTTTTTGTCCTTGCAGTCACCTCTGGTTAAGTTTCGCATCTTCTCTTATTCTGTCATCTTCACTCTTCTTCTGCCCTGCAATCCATTCCTCATGCTGCTGTGAAAAGGATCTTCTAAAACCACAGATTTGCTCTGATCTCAATGCTCTCACGTTTAAAGGCTGAAGTAGTTCTTCATACTTGGGATTAAATCAGAATTTCGTTTCATGGCTTATCAGGTCTAGCCTTTCCAGACACATCTCTTGCTGTTTCTCCCCATTATTTGTGTACTCTTGAATGTGGCGTTCTTTCTTGCCCTAAACCTTCACATATGCTGTTTTCTTTACTAGAACATTTTCCCCTCTCTCTGTGAATCCCACCCTTTCTTTTCTCCTGACTATTTAGGCCTCAGCTTAAATACCACTTTCTCAGATAGAACTTTTCTAATCCTTAATCTTTAATCCTTAATCCTTAATTAGGCTCCCCTAATATATGTTCCCATAGCACCCAATATTTCCTATGTGTCAGATATTGTAATAGTACAGTATAATTTGACATATAAGAAATATTGGGTACTTTACAAAATTGGAAGTTTAACACGGGTATCTCATCTCCATTTTCAGCATTTGGAATGGTACAGGCACAGAGTAAGTGCCCCAAAAATAGTTCTTGAGTAAATGAATGATGAAGTTTGATGATAACTGAGTGAAGAAGAGTCACTGTGGTTGATTATTTTGTGCACCATTGTCTCTTTCTTATATAGATCTATATGTTGTTTTGTGATTGATGAGATTTGTATTGCATTTCTTAACAGGGTGCTGGAACTGATGAGTTCACTCTGAACCGAATAATGGTTTCCAGATCAGAAATTGACCTTTTGGACATTCGAGCAGAGTTTAAGAAGCAGTATGGCTACTCCCTAAATTCAGCAATTAAAGTAAGTCTCCTCTTAAAAATAGTAAGCACATTTTGCCTTTCGCTACCTATTTCCTTTCCCTTATAATCTTTAGAATGTGGAGATGTGTGACTTAGATTTCTCCCTCCTTGTCAATGCATAAATGTGTTTTCTGGATTTAAAATAGTAATAAAAAAAATGCCCTTAAAGATAGAGACTATTTTTTCAATTCTAGAAGCTCAGGCACACAATGGATGCTCAATTTTTTTTTTTTTTAGGATTTCGTGGCCATTAATTTTTCTTCTTTTGTGAGTAGCATATGCAGGTTTTTCACCTATTTTTTTATATTGCAAGGTTTTTTTAAAAAATCTATTTCAGTGTTTCTCTATGACAATAGGAGGAAAGAACAATACATGTTTTAAATTTCCTCTTTGTCTGCAGCTCAGAGTTCATTTTAGTATATTAGAAGCTTTCTCATTCTTTTTAACAGCTGCATATCATTCCATTATTTGTATATTTGTACCCACCACATCAACAGATGTTTCCTTGTTTCTTGCTGTTACAAACAATGTGGCAATATGCATATACAGTTTTATAAGATATAAATGTATCTGTGGGATAAATCCTCAGAAGTAGATAGGATTACTGAGACAGATGTAAATACATTCGTAATTTTGGTAACTACTAGCAATTAACCTCTGTTTGCACTTCCATGAAGAATGTATGAATTCTTGTTTCTCCATAGTTTTGGCACAGAGGGTGTTTTTAAGCTTATGGGTTTTTACAATATGATAGGTAAGAAATCGTATCTCACTGTAGTTTTGAATATGCATTTTTCTTTTTTTCTTAATATGCATGAGGCTGGAACATATTTTCATGTTTTAAATACCATTTGCATTTCTTTCTGTGATGTGTTTTTTTATGTTCTTTATCTATTTTTCTATTGGGTTTGATGTTTTATTTATTTATTTTTTGGTCAATCTCTAAGACCTCTTTTCATATAATTTAGATTACCTTTTGCCTATGAATTGTAAATGTTTTCCCAGTTTGTTATTTTTTTCTTTGACATGGCTGAAAGTGTTTTTCTATGAGTTTTGCATCAAATTAAATTTATCAATCTTTTATAGTTTCTTGAGTTAAAAAAAAAAAAGATCCCTTAGATTCTATCATTCTGAATGAAAATCTTCCTGAAATGTGTTACACAATTTTCTTTCTGTTTTAAAAAATGAAACCAGTTTTCATTGTTCTCAAGTAAGACCTGTAAAAATTGTGTAAGAGACTTCCATACATAAACTAATGACTCAAAAGTCATAATCCCAATAATAATATGGCAACTAGGAAATGATGAACTAAGGGGCTTAGACCTGCTTGTCAGTCTTCCATTGAAGACTGTTCTGTACCTCAGCCTCCCAGATGGCATACAAGTCTCCAGTAAATGAGTAATAGAATGTCAGTCCAGGCTGCATCCCTGAAACAAACTGGGAGCCCAGGTTGCTGAACAAGCACCAAACTGTCCCAGCCCTCAGGGTCACTGGCTAGAGAATAAAGATGGAGTCTAGGGCAGCCTTCACAGACGTCCCACAGGTCTTGCTATGCTTCAGCCTTATCCACCCTATGGATGTCTGGAGAAAATCAGCTTTGGAGAGCATCAGGCCCATAGGTGGAGACAAGTGGATCCAAATCAGTGTAGAGTCACTGAGGCCCTAGCTCAGACGTGGAGCCCAGAGGACAAACATAGCCTGGAAGAAGGACGCATTTGCTCTGCGTGCTGGTGGTCCAAAGTCAAGGAATCCAAACCATCCATATACCTAGTCCCTAGCTTTAGGATTATTTATGTACCCTGTGCATCCTGATCCAGGGCACCAGCCTCTCTCAAGCCCCTATGAAGCTGGAGTCCCATGCTCAGTCCCATGGCTGACATTCAGCCATGGCCACCAGGCCCGCCTTGGTTTAGTCTGCATTCCTGTGTCACCATGCACCCTTGGAGTCCTTGGTTTAACCCTTGAGATGGCACTACCGAGATAGCTACCCTTGACTAGGTACACGTGTTAGCCTGGGCCTTTTGGCAGCCATCTTGAGAACATTCCTGCCACAGTCTCCACAAATGGTCTTTGGATGAATGAGCGTATGAACATTCATCAGCTAGATGCGTTCACCAAAATCTCTTTCTTCAACCAGTGCTTTTGTTTTTATACTAAACCTTTGCAGAAAAAGATCCATGCCTAAGCTGAAATCAGGAACTTACTCAAAAACGCAACTCTGAGATTGTGCCTGGGGCTTGGTACAGATTTCATCAACTGCTCACACTCAATGCAATTTGAATCGATTCTGACACATTATAATAGTTTCAATCAACAGAGGAAGATTCAATAACGTTAACCATATTGTTCTTACTGAGGCAGAAAAGTAGACTCATACATTTTATAAAGATTGTCAGTAACAAGATTGAAACATAAAGAGGGCTTTCAGTTCACCCTCAGCAAACTAGAAAATTAAATTAACCAGCTCTCCCTCCCCCAATAGTCTCGGTAATTGAAGCTTATTGTATTAGGAAACATTTAAACTATTGGTATCTTGATAGAAAGAAAAATTCATTGCTGAAGAGTTCAGTTTGTAATTTAAAATTATATAAGATTTCTTCTTTTCTACTACCTATCATACATTATTAAGTAATATCATTACATTTTCACTATTGATGAATAGGTGAAAACCTATTCAACTGGTTCAATTTCTGTAATTCAGGAGCTAGAGTTCCATTTTGTATATTGTAGAGGAGAAACTTTCCTCACCCCTTTAAGTTTCTTTCAGCTGGTCTAATAATTAAATCTACATGAGACTGATTAACAAGAGAAAATAACCAAATTTAATTACATACAAATGCATGGAAACCCCACGTACATGAGAGAGTCATAGACCCCCACGTATGTGAGAGACTCAGGGACAGAAAGTTAAAATGAGGTATATGGGACATTCCAAGCTAAGGATGAGGTAAGGTGCCTTGGAGCTTCAGTGGGTCACCGCAGGATGACAAGAAGAGCAGATGTTTAGTACTTTGTAGTTTGCCCTGCCATACAGATAGGTCAAAAACGGTTATCTGGGACAATCTCATTATGGGCAAGGCCCCTAATTCAAATTCTTCTAGGTAGTTAAGTGGGGGAAGGGGAAGAAGTTTCCCACAGGGTCTCAATTGCCTTTAGCTTAAAATAATCTGCATACCATAGAGACACATCTTGGGGTGACTGGTTCTGAACCCCTACAATATTATCCAGGACTTTGGTTCTGTCTTCTTCCTTCTGCCTATTTTTTAGACATTTCTCTGCTCATTAACACCTGTCTCAGGCAATGATTGTTGGGAAAGAGAAGGGAAGAATATAAGTGAAAAACAAATGTATATCTCTTATTAATAAAATATTCATAGAAAATATGTGTGAGATTACATTTTTGGTAGATTTCCTTGACCAACAGATTAAGTGCCTATTTAACAAATAGCACAATTCCAGTCTCTTTAAGGGAAAAAATAGTAGCCACTCTCAATTAACACATAATCTATGTGTAGACTTGAGGTGGGCATAAATAAAACAGACAATAATAATATGAAATAACGTATAATTAAATACTAGATTGTAGGGTACAGAAGATAATAATATAGAAATTGAGAGTAAAAGAAGTTTGGGATTAGATAGGGAATGTTTCTTAGGAAAATGGGTTTGAGCCCACCTTTCAGATTACTATGCATGTGTTAAGCGTCTTTTATGGGCCAGGTGCTATGCTATTCAATCGGGTCTCAAAGGTGAATGCTCTAGAAACATGTATGATAAGAAGTAGGAGGGGGAAAACGTAAAAAGGCACTTGACTGATTAGAAAGTTTACCTTGGAGAATGTTAAAAAATGAAATCCAAATGGCAAGATGAATTCGATTGAAAAAGAACTCTGAGATCATGAAATTTGTATTTCATTTATTCAATGAAAAATACTTATTGAGTGAGTAATGTGCTAAGCTCGGGGTTACAATTATAAGCAAAGAAAGAAGTTTTCTATCCTTACGGAATTACAAATAAATGTGAGATTATACCTATGTTAAATATAAAGAAAAGAGATATGTTATAAGATCATGTACTAGGTAGATTTGACCCATAGGAGTGGTTTCTATGAGGAAGTTATGATTCAGATTGAAAATGTGTGGACAACATCAAGGTAAAAGTTGTTGGAGTTGGGAGTCAGTAGAGCATTCCAACAAAGGGAATTGCAAGTGTAAAGTTCTGTGGTGGAGGAAAAATAATTAAAAATAAGGCTGGAGGGACCAGATCTTGAAGGACCTTTTGGGCAATATTTAAGAATTTTGTCTTTAGCTTAAGAGCAATGGAAGTCATTGAAGCATTTTAGTTTTAAGTACTTAGTGTCATGATTAGAAATACAGTTTGAAAAGATCTCTATGACTGTGGAGAATGAATTAGATGTAGGATAGAAGAGATGTGGGGTGATGAGTTATATTGGTCCTACTAGAGTAGCTATGACTGGGTAGTGCAATGTCATAATGCAAAGCAACTGGTAATGCAAAGAGAGGAAAGAGCAAAGACTCAGAAGACATTTAGGAGTTAAAATTAAGATACTTGGTGTAAGGAACAGGGAAGAGCAGTGTCAAGGATGACTCCCAGATTTGACTTGGAAAACAGTCCCCGCAAGAGTTTCAGGTTTTAGGGCTGTTTGGGTTGGGTTGGGTTGGGTTGGGTTGGGTTGGGAGTGGAGGAGAGCATTTATGAGTTTGTTTTTGTGGATATTAAGTTCGAGATGTCTTTGGAGCATGTAAGTGGAGATGTCAAGCCGGTAGCTAGTGGGGAGATACATTTTCAGAGACAATTATGTTATTGAATCCTTGGACATGAATGCATATCCTCTGGGGAGAAAATATAGGTTGAAAAGAGAAGAAAGCTGAGAACTGAGATTTAAACATTGCTAATAATTAATGCCTGCGAAGAAGACAAAAGTGGAAATGCCAGAGAGGAAGGAAAAGCCAGGACTACTTACAGGAAAAGTAAGGACTACTTATTTGATGGATATTGTGGTCATTGAACTAGATTTACCAAACAGTAAGATTCGATACCTTCGAGCAGGGGTCCCCAAACCCCTGGTACCAGTCTATGGCCTGTTAGGAACTGGGCCGCACAGTAGGAGGTGAGTGGCGGGCCAGTAAAGCTTCATCTGTATTTGTAGCCACTCCCCAGTGCTAGCATCACCACCTCAGCTCCACCTCAGATCATTGGGCGTTAGATTCCTATAGGAATTCACCAGTCCCTGGTGCCAAAAAGGTTGGGGACTGCTGCCTTGGAGAATGCAGATTGATGAATTTAGAGTCAAGGAAACTAATGACAAGAGATGGGAGCCTGTAGTAGATTCGTTGTGGTGAGAATGGAAAAAAAAATAATTTAAAAAACACCACAAAGAAATAATTGGCAAGATGGTAAATGCAAAGGATAAAAGGTGGGATCAAAGTTGGGGGAAGAGGGAACCCCTGGTACCACTGTTAAAAAGAGGCCAACAGAAACTTTTCATTGCTTTTTTTCTTTTGTTTGTTTATTGCTGGAATATTTTTTAAGCATTTTATTTTATTTTATTATTAGTTTCAAGTATATAATACATGAGTTAGACATTAATATAGTTTATGAAATGATCCCCCCGCTTACTCTGTCACCCATCTGGCTCTACACACAGCCATTACATTACTGCTGACTGCATTCCCTATGCCGTGCCCCCCATCCCCGTGACCATCTATCAACTACTAATTTGTACTTCTTTAGCCCTTCATCCCTTTCTCCCAGCCTCCCAACCCCCCTACCCCTGACAGTCACCAGATTGTCCTCTATATTTGTGAGTCTATTTTTGATTAGTTTGTTCTTTTTGTTCCTTAGATTCTGCATGTAAATGAAATCATATAGTATTTATCTTACTCTGTCTGACTTATTTCACTCAGCATAATAACCTCTAGGACCATAACATGTCATTGCAGATGGTAGGATTTCATTTTTTTATGGCTGAGTAATATTCCATTGCATATATGTAGTTAGTTTCTTAAGGACAATTAATGGCCTAACTAGGAAGCCATAAATTATGTTCAAAGGTTTTGAAAATACACTGTTTTTGTGTGTGTGTGTGTGATAAAATTTCTAAAATGCCATGTAAATAACATAGCTATCTTACCAGAAGGCATAAGGGTGCAGAGGTAGGAGAAAAGGATAAATATTTGTTTCCTGCCTACGGTGAGTCAGAATTTTAGATATAGCTCTGTGTTAAGCTTACTCGGATGTATTTTCTCAACTAAGTGATAGAACCCCTAATTTTTACAACTTTGATCAGAGACGGCTGGAGGAAGCTGTTTTAATACAAAGCAAGAGCATTGATGACTCATCAGCAGTTTGAGACATGATTACATGTGGCAGAACAAGACAAGAAAACCAACAGGGGAAGAACTAAAATCTATATAAAACAGAAGTTTGTATGTTAATGCCTGTTGTGTCTTATTATGAAAGTAATGCTTAACCTCGTTTCTAAGTGACCCTTCTCCATTGCTTCCTATACATTATCACTTATTTAATATTTACCCCAGTGTGATACGTAAGTGATAAGAAGTTGTCACTGTTTGAGTTGCTTTGAATAAAATGATGTGAAGTTTTTAGGTTACCTCTGTTAAAAGCCAAGTTTTACCTCTAATGCTATGTAAAAGTTTTACCTTTTTTGCATAGCAAACATGACATCTTTGTACTTAAAGCCTCAATCCCACATGGTATCTTTTCTGAACCAACGTCATTTTTGGCTGGCCTAGGGGAAAGGAACTGAGAAACACACTCTTTGAGGATGTAGTTCATTTCACTTTCATAAGTCAGGCAGTATAGATGGTGTTAAGGCTCCAGGCTACTGGGTTCTAATACTGTCTCTGTCGCTAATTCTCTGTATGATTTGGGACAAGGTTCCTAACCTCTGTTTTTCTCATTTTACTTATCTATTAAATGGAGTTACTTATGGTACCTACTGCTTAGAGTTCTTCTAAAAGTTAAAGTAAGTTAGCCCTTAAAAGAGCAACTGTTGGGTAAATATTAATATATATTATTAAAACTATAATTTTTAAAGTTTTGTTTTAAAATTAATATTATATAATATCTTATAATTGGTGCGATATTATTTTATTAAACCAAAATTGAAACTTATTGCAATATATCAGGAAGAATTTAAACATTATTATATATTATAAAGAAGATGCTAGGCTGGAAGATAATTACACTCAGGTATGAATGGATAAAGGAATTATAGGTGCATTTTACTAAATGGTAAAGGTCAAGAGTCTCATGTGAATTCCTAGTGCTGTGGGACTTGATTCATTTATGGTCTCTTTATTATTTATGCTATATTTGTCCTTTCCATGGGTCCTGTTTTCTGCAGTCGGATACTTCTGGAGACTATGAAATCACACTCTTAAAGATCTGTGGAGGAGATGACTGAGTCAAGAACATCATCTCCAAAGGTTGTTTGCTTCCATGATGGGCTTCTCCAACAGCTCTGCTTACTTCTCTTTCACGGGATTTAAAAGTACAAGAAGTATAAACAGCAATCTGTTTTTCGTAACAGAAATTGTCATTGTTCCATAACAACAACAAAGTGATTATCTTAAAGTATTTCATCATAATGTAGTAGTTTATAAGTGAAAATTTAAAATGGTATAAAGAATCCGCTAATACTCTCCAAATTATATTTCTACTTAGGAAGTGAGAATCATTGTACAGTTCTAAAACATTAAATGCAAAAACAAGGTAATAAAAGTTGTCACCTTTGTTAAATTGTCTGGTTTTCTTTAGCGTCTACCAATATCTTTGGTACTTGGTGCCAATAGCTAATGATATTTTATATGTTTTCGTTACAAAAGCTGTTGCTGCTTCAATTTATCTATTACCTTATTAATCACATTCATCTTTAAGAAAGGAATAAAAAAGATGTATGTTACCCTGACTACCCTTTCTAGTTATGATCAAGCTATAAGAGTGGCAATGCATACTAAGTTACTTTAGACCTCAGAAAATTTCTGCTGAACTATTAATCTAACCACTTCCTGACTAAATGGCAAGAATGAATTGTGGTTGTTTTATGCTAAATACTTCTTTCCCAGAATGGGTATCTAGAATCAAGTCTCTAAGATTTCTTTTTACTCTAAAATAAGTTTGCAAAACTATGCATTTAAAAAATCCTTCATGTTATCTTTGAAAGGTACCTAATATGAAATACCTTGACTAATATAAAATATATGATGTAAAAAATTCCACTTGGAATTATTAGTCTGGACTAGAAAAGAAATAATGTGTAAGAGATAGAAAGAGTGATGTGTGGGTCCAGAGCTTTTAATCAATGTATTCCACTGGTGAACATTCCTGAGACCTTTTAAAAAGATAGAGAAGAAGTTACTTCTTGCCCTGGGATTTCCAAAATGCATATGGGGATAAAGTGCAAGGATTTAGAGTCCTACTCACCTGGTTTTGGCTTTCTGCCCTACCATTTACTAGCTCTATGACCCCTGGCAACTACTAAGCCCTGCTAAACCAAAGTTTTCTCATCTGTAAAAAGGTGATAATTACAGTGTCTATAATTACAGTGCCTATCTTTCTTGTAGAGTTTCTTAAAGATTAAGCAAGGTAATGCCTGTGAACACTTAGCCCTGTGCCTGGATGATATGGTAAGTGTTTTATGATAGTGTTGTCATTGTTATTACCAAGCAACATCAAAATGATCATGACAGCATGGCAGCCATTCCTCAATAGACTGCCATTCACCTACCGTGTGCCAAGCCCTGTGCTGGGTAAGTGTTGGCTATCCCAAGGGAGCCAAGACTCATCTCCTTTTGCCAAAGAGTTTAAAAGCTAGGGAAGGAGACATGTAAGCAGGTAAACACAACACAGTATGTACCACATGCATTCAGGAAAATGACATTGGATAAGAGACAGAAGCAGTATGGAGGCAGGCTCAGGAATTTGGCCTACTGAAGGTTACAAACTTCACCAGTTAGAAAGAAGAGGCAAGGTTCTCAGACAGGTTAAAAGCACTTGTAAAGTCACAGAGTTACGAACGAGCATGATGTGTGCACAACTGTTCCAAAGGTTAGTGTAGTGGAGGCTGAGTACAAGGGGAGGTGACTGATAATAGGCAGGGATCAGCCTATGAAGGTGCATGTGTCATGCTAAAAGAGTTTGTAAGCAAGAGAGAGTAACGGAAAGAGCATTCCAGGAGGATTTCAATGAGGGAAATGATGTGGTCAAATTTTTGATCAAGGGAGAGGTATGTATGGGAGAAGAAAGCTAGCGGCAGGGAGCCTACTTGGCAAATTAGTTCTAGAATCAATACTAAAAGTGTCAGTCTGAACTAAGAAAATGGCAAGAGAGACCAAAGGAAAAATATACAAACACACTTAAGAAATATCTTGGAGACAAAATCGATAGAACAAGGTAATCAGGGTCGTCAGGTGTCAAGTTTGCCCCCATGATTTTGGCTCAAATGATTCAGTGAATGATTGTCTCTCCAAGCAATAAGTTATTGCTAATATTTGAGTGCTTACTGTGTATTGGGGTCTATGTTAAACAGTGCAGTATATGTTAAATCACTAATCCTCAAGGAACTTTACAGTGCAGGCACTAACTTACAGATACAGGAATGGAGGCTAGGAGAAATTAAGTCACTTGATCATTGGAAGAACCAGGATTTAAACCCAAGCAGCCCGATGTCCAGGCTATTAATTATTATTTTGCCTTACAATTTATTTCACCCCAGGGCCACCCTGTTCTTTTACCCTAGAACATAAGCTGTTTAAACGCAGGGAATTTTATCTGTTGGGTTCACTGCTATAAGTACTATATCCTTAGTGCTTAGAATGTGCTTGGCACATAAAAATCTCTTAGTAAATCTTTATTGAACAAATGAAGTTCTTTTCCACTATGCATTTGAGCTATATAAATGAATTTGGGGCGGCTATTAAAACCTTTGTAAGTACACATGAGTTTCAGGCTTGGGAAAAGAAATAATACTGCACTATGGGCAAGCCTTGGAGAAAAGCTCAGAAATTTCAGCCACATACAGAGTATTTATTCCAAGCTACCCATCACCATGGAGAGAAATATTTTGTAAAGCTGGCCAAGGCACTAAAACTTCTGGAGAAGCAACAAGTTCAAATGCATATATATTCTGTACTTAAGCTAAATTCTTGAAACGGTATTACAAGATTTTAATCTTGGCCACATTCTCCAAAGTCATGGAGAAGGAACCTGTACCCCCTTTGGATTTTGATATGAACTTCTTTATTCCTCTAGAAAAATTATTTGCACCACTACAGTGCTCCCACATACATATTTTTCCCTCTCTCCTCTTCTCCTACCCTCCCTCCCTCCCTTCCTTCCCATTCATTCTTCTCTCTATTTCTTTCTATAAGTTAATAAGCACTTTTGAAACCACCCTCCAGCATGAATACTAAGACTTGGACAATAACCTGCTGCCAACCGCGTGGTCTTCCCCTCCCACCTCTCCACCTGATGATATACGCACCATCCCAAGCTCCATGTCCCTCGTTCCCTTGCTTTCTTTTTCTAAACTTTTTCATTTAAATTTTTTTCTTTATAAATTGAGTCTTGCACTGTACATAATTTCTGAGATTTCTTTTTTCACTTAATATTATTTTTCTAAGTGATATTTATATCATTAGAGTCATATATTTTATTTCGACTGCTATATATCATTCCATTGTGTAGGTCACAAATATAATTTCTAGTAGGCTACAGAATTGCCCCAAAGGAAATAGGGAAAGCATAGTTTTATCTAGCTCCCCACTCCTTGTGCTTCTTTGAAGTTATGATGCCCACTATGGCCACAGAAGTAGACTTCAACTCTAGTCAGTCAGGGGCAGAGTGCAAGAGGGAAAACACAAAAGTAAGAAGAACCTGGGTTTTTCTCTTTAATAGGTTCTAATCATCAATGTTAGAGTAGGGGGAAGTTCCCACACCAACACGCAATGCTCTCACACCAGCTGGATAGTCTTCAATTCAACTTATCCTGACACTCTCTACCTAGAGATAGTGTCAGATCCCACAAGTCAAAAGTTCAGTCCTACAAGACTGTCCCCCCTCACCCCCGCCCCCACTTCAGATGCCAATCACAAGTCCAGGTTGTCACCTGTGCTTCTGACTGACTGGCTATAGATCAAAGGTTCCAGTGAAATGAACCTCTCCTTGGGTTCAATTACTTTGTTAGAGTGGCTCACAGGACACAGAGAAACATCTAATTGCTAGATTACTGGGCTATTATACAAGAATATGATTCAGGAACAGCCAGATGGAGGAGATGCATAGGGGGAGGCATGAGGAAAGGGTGTGAAGCTCCATATTCTCTCTAGGTGCACCAATCTCCCTAAATCTCCC